ATCTAAATGAAAGTGTCACTCAACCAGTCTGTGTTCTGTCATGAGATCTCGACTATATTGTTTGCGATTGTGATCGCTGAATAAATGCACTTACTCAACCGCTGTTGTTTGAATAGAGAAGCATAAGCTATAGAAATTTGGAATTACTATTAGGAATTTCACTGTTATAATATTTTTCATTTGTTTTACCAGTTTTCATAATATAGAGAGAGTGCATAAGTCTTTGGTATTAATATATATATATATATATATATATATATATCAATCAAACAAAACTGTTTCATTACTTATATATAGTTTAACAATGTTTGCCAATATTTATATTTTAAATAATGTAAAAATGTCTGCCAAATCAAAGTCATGAGGTTCAAGCAAAATTATGTCAATCATATAGAGGACCCTTGCAGACCCTCATGACAGTGTGTCAATAAGTCTCTTAAAATATCAGATATGACATTTTTATGACTAGACAAGGTTAGTTCAGGTCAAATGTCATGTGGTGTGACTCCCCAAAAACATAATCATATTTATCATTAATAAATCTATGATATATGTAAAAAATAATTTTTACAGTAAAAAATATATTCAAAATAATGATAAAGTGTGTACTCTCAAATGTGAAACTAATTTCTTTTGTTATATGTCATTGACTGCAGGAAGGGTTCTGCACTTATTTTCAAATGTGTTTCTCATTTCCAGCAAATCTCATTTATAAATATGTTTTGCAACATGTTTAGTCACATGATCATGATTCTACATTCTACATTTGAGCCCCCGTCAGCCCAGATACCTGCTCTGGCTCCTCTTTCTGTGTTGTGCCACAAGAATCTCAGGCATCCGCTGCTGGACATGACCCCTTATTAAGCCTACCCCACTGAGACATACATCTAAATATAGCCTGCATTCATCAACACATCAGAGACGGTGGGGGGGTTTGGGGGACGAGGACTATAGAGGGTGGGCAAAGGGAACTGGTATCAGCCGTGTTTAAAGCTCTCATGCTACCATCACTCATATGTCCATGAGAGCACGTGTCAGCCCTGCTGAATTATCAGAGCAGCACTGGGACCAGAGGCACTGGAGTACTGAGAACAAGACACTCGCTGTCAAAACATGGCAGAGAGCAGAAGTGAGAGACTGAAAGAGTGATAATGAAGCACTGGCCTGCAAACTAATCAGATGGAGAAACGTTCCTGAATTAAAGGCCTTATTTTATGTTTCTGTTGAATCTGACTTGTAAGGGAGAGTGGGGTAAGAAGTGTCGCCCCCTTAATCTAGTAAATTGTGCACATCTTTTTTTGAGCCAATAGAATATCTCATGGTTTGAAAGATAACTTTGCCAATCAGATTTGAGAACCAGAACGAACTGTTGTATAAATATATATATAACAACTAAGTAATGATTACATTTCTTTTTGAATGTTTATTTAAATTGTTGTAACATGACTAAAACTAAAGCTGAAATAAAAATATATTCAAATTATATAAACATATTTGTAAAAATTCCAAAACTGCATCTAAAAGTTGTATAAAGATTTTTTTCTTTGATCATGTATTACACTCCTGATGTGAACATATTAATCATATACAGCTGACTGTGATTGACAGATACACATGAAAAAAGTGAAAATGTTTTCATTTATTTATGCTAAAAAAATTGCATTTCCTACATGCCAGATGAAGTTATTTGTCAATGCAAATATATTCAAATCTAAAAAAAAATAATACCATATGCATGTTGGTGAATTGTACATATGAATTATTTGACTGAGTAATTTATTCAAAAACCCATGAATTGTTAATTGGACTATTTGTTCAAAAATGGTAGCTGTGGGGCATAGTGTGTCAGATATGTTGATACATGCTTCCAAATGCAGGAAATACTATTACAAAAGGTTAAATAATTTCACTACATTCGCTATACAACGTTTAGCAAAATGAGACTTTAAAATGGTATTGTGCATTGGTAATGGTATGTTTAATTTAGATTGGTCTCATTTATGTTAATCTTTTATTTTTACTCCTTTGAAAGGTGGTTTTATTTCTATGGCCCAATGTTAAACACTTTTTAACATCCTGAAGTAGAATTAATCCTGAAATATTAGTTGTACCTCTGTCTCATATCTCTTTGCTTAGAGGACAACTAAAGTAAAAAGTGGCACAGCATGTTACCACCATTGTCAAGAGCCAGTAAACACAGCAGTAGTTCATGTCCTTGTATCAGTACTTATCTGTCTGCCCGCCGTTGTTGAGTCTCATCTGGAAAAGTGGCATGAAAATTGACAGCATCTGTTTGCCTCCAGAACTCCATAATCCAATTTTCCATGCTCTTCTCTTCTGATGAAATGCAGTGTGTTCTTTGTCCTGCAGAATAACAGTTATTTTCCTATATTAAAGTTGCTGGTTTGGTAGCAGCTCAGCAGGCGTCACCTGCCAGCTCACTCTCATGTATTCCTCTTCATATTAGCGGTTGTCTTTTCATGCCATACTATGAGCCTCTACCTCATTTCAAAGTTAAAATGATAAAGCGTTGTGGGTTTTTCTTTTTCAGTAACATAGCATCTTCTTCATTTCAGGTTAAGGTGCATCCTGGCCCCCGGCAACCTCTGTGGATGTCTGTCACCATGGCGAAGTTTGAGACCGGCCGCACAAGCCCAGTGGTCCGCCAGATAGACAAGCAGTTCCTGGTGTGTAGTATCTGTCTAGACCACTACCACAACCCCAAAGTCTTGCCCTGCCTGCACACCTTCTGCGAAAGGTCTGTGATTGTTGCCATAATTACTGATAGCACAGTCCTTCATCTTGAAAAAAATTATTCTGGTCATTTAATTTATTAATTTAGCTGACAATATTCTAGTGGTTGGAAAAAAATGGAAATCAGGATTAGGCATAAAATAATGCCTTCAGAATCATTATTATGTGAAAATCAGCTGGGAGTTGACCAAATGGCAGTTTTTCTGCTGTTTAATGGTAATACAATGATTTTTCACCTTAAAATACCTCCAAGTATTGGATTTCATTCAACAAATATGATGTTGTCATACAGTATTTGTGGTGTAGTAGAGAGAGAACAGGAAATGATGGGGAGGAGATCCGGTAATGACGTGAGCCACATTTGAACTCCCACATGAGCACCGTGGCATAACATGAGCAGCTCCAGCCTGAACATATAAAAATGAGTCGTCACAGTTTTAATAACATGCTTGATGATTGAAGCATTGATCAGCTGTTAACCTTTTGATAGGATGGCATATGGACTTTGTGTACTTACTGCTGACATTCCTTGGCATAGATGTTCTGTCTCTATCACAAACATTTTCTTCTGCATCGATGACCGTGTTCAGTCAGTGTGACAATGAGACTCTCTGTGTCTTTATGTGTTTCTTTGGGTGTTTTGTGCTTTCTGTGGGGTTGTATGTCAGCGGAGTGTTTCCACTGTGATTGTTCATGTTGTGACTGAAATTTCAGCAACACTTGCCCTGCTAGCCCTCTCATTCTCCCTCTGTCTCACAGGAGTACATTATTTATGAAATATGAGATACACTACCGTTCCAATGTTTGAGGTCGGTAAGATTTTCAAATGTTTTTTTAAAGAAGTCACGCAGAAGCTGCATTTATTTGAACAAAAATACAGTTAAAAATAATTTTTTGAGGATACACTACCGTTCCAATGTTTGAGGTCGGTAAGATTTTCAAATGTTTTTGAAAGAAGTCACGCAGAAGCTGCATTTATTTGAACAAAAATACAGTTAAAAATAATTTTTTGAAATATTACAATCTGTTTTAATATATTTTAAAATGTAATTTGTGATGGCAAAGCTGAATTTTCAGAAGCCATTACTCCGGTCTTCAGTGTCACAAATCATTCCAATAAGCAGATTTGGTGCTCAAGAATCATTTCTTATAATTATCAATGTTGAAAGCACTTGTGCTGCTTAATATTTTTATGGAATCCGTGATACATTTTTCCAGGATTCTTTAATGAATAGAAGGTTCACAAACAGCATTTATTTGAACTATTTATTTATTCACATTTATTTGATCAATTTAATGCATCCATGCTGAATAAAGGTATTCATTTCTTTAAAAAAAAATCTTACTGTCCCCAAACTTTTGAAAGCTAGTGTATGTTAACGGTTGCTGATATTTGTTTTTCAAGGATAATTTTACATTTTAAGATGAAGTGTGTAATTGTTTTTGCCCTATGCCTGCTTAAAGGGATACTCCACCCGAACATGGAAATTCTGTCATCATCTTTCACAACCTGTATGACTTTCTTGCTTCTGAGGAACAAAAGAGGAGTTATTTATAGCAGAATATTCAAGCTGCTCCTTTCCATAAAATGATTGTGAATGGTGACTTAAGTTTCAGTTGTTTCCTCACACAAAGCTATCGTATGACTTTAGAAGACTTGAAATATAGTGCATGAGACATATGACTTACTTTTATAATGGTTTATGGTTCTTATTTGCCCTTTTTTGAGCTTGACAATACTTGGTCCCCATCTACTGTTAGGAAAATAGCAGTGTGAACATTCTTCAAAACATTTCCTTTTGTGTTCCTCACAGGTGCCTACAGAACTACATTCCTCCTCAGTCAGAAGCCATTACTCCGGTCTTCAGTGTCACAAATCATTCCAATAAGCAGATTTGGTGCTCAAGAATCATTTCTTATAATTATCAATGTTGAAAGCACTTGTGCTGCTTAATATTTTTATGGAATCCGTGATACATTTTTCCAGGATTCTTTAATGAATAGAAGGTTCACAAACAGCATTTATTTGAACTATTTATTTATTCACATTTATTTGATCAATTTAATGCATCCATGCTGAATAAAGGTATTCATTTCTTTAAAAAAAAAATCTTACTGTCCCCAAACTTTTGAAAGCTAGTGTATGTTAACGGTTGCTGATATTTGTTTTTCAAGGATAATTTTACATTTGAAGATGAAGTGTGTAATTGTTTTTGCCCTATGCCTGCTTAAAGGGATACTCCACCCGAACATGGAAATTCTGTCATCATCTTTCACAACCTGTATGACTTTCTTGCTTCTGAGGAACAAAAGAGGAGTTATTTATAGCAGAATATTCAAGCTGCTCCTTTCCATAAAATGATTGTGAATGGTGACTTAAGTTTCAGTTGTTTCCTCACACAAAGCTATCGTATGACTTTAGAAGACTTGAAATATAGTGCATGAGACATATGACTTACTTTTATAATGGTTTATGGTTCTTATTTGCCCTTTTTTGAGCTTGACAATACTTGGTCCCCATCTACTGTTAGGAAAATAGCAGTGTGAACATTCTTCAAAACATTTCCTTTTGTGTTCCTCACAGGTGCCTACAGAACTACATTCCTCCTCAGTCCTTGACGCTGTCCTGCCCGGTGTGCAGACAGACCTCCATCTTGCCCGAGAAAGGTGTGGCGGCACTACAGAACAACTTCTTCATCACAAACCTCATGGAGGTGCTGCAGAGAGACCCAGAATGTTCTCGGCCGGAGGCCTGCAGCGTGCTGGAGTCTGTCAGCGCAGCAGCCGCTGGGAAACCGCTCTCCTGCCCCAATCACGAGGGCAAGGTAAGCCTCTTACCATCTGATGATGAAACCAAATTTGGCAGCATTTGGTGAGAACATAAAGCAAAAAAAAAAGTTGTTGGTAAAATTGCAGCCAAAATGTAGAAATGTCTGAATGGGGTTTTCATTGGCAGAGGTTTTCATTGGCAGAGGCTGCAGTGTCACTTTCTCATTATTTTTGCTCTTTCCTCTTAAACACACCTGAAAGCTGCCAACTTCTTTCTTTTATGTGTCTTCAAAGTCATAATACATGTGTGTTTAGGCTCTTCAGGCCTGTTAGCGTACGTTAGCGCCCTTTGATAATCCATTAGGATGCTGAATGAATGGGTTGCTCACTGGTGCCCCTGCAGGTGATGGAGTTTAATGTGTGTGTATTTGTTGTGAAACTATTATATTGATAAAATAATATATTCCAAAAATGTGATATAAAAAATATTATATAATAATAATTAAGTCTCATTTTACTAGTGACTAAATATAGAAAAAATATATAATTGTTATTAATTCTATATAATTTATATGCTTTATAAATGTATATAAATATGTATTTAGTAAAATATTTTAGATATTTTTTAGAAAGCATGAAACAATTATGATTAAAAATATTATATTAAAAATATGATCATTATTAAGTCTCCTTTTAGTAGTGACTACACAGAAATAATAATATTATTGCAGACTGCAGATTATTGCATAATATTGCAGTTCCAAATAATTGATCTCTTTTCCATAATTTTGCTTATATAATTTGTTCTATCTGAGATTTTGTTTGTTTTTTATTTGGTCAGGCTGCCCCAACTTACAGCTGCCATTGAGCTGGTGAATGAAATCTCTCAACAGCTGATAGAAAGGAAGAACGAAGCCATCAATGAGATCAACATGACATTTGAGGAGCTCGAGAGGGCGTTGCACCAGCGCAAAGCTGCACTCATCACTGATCTGGAGAACATTTGTAGCACCAAGCAGAAGGTCCGAAATCTCTTGATAGGTTAAACAGATTGTACTTCTTCTATTTCACTAACGCTCCTTTCTGCGGTGTCCTCTGCAGGTGCTTCAGGCGCAGCTATCGTCCCTTCTGCAGGGAAAAGAGCACATCCAGAGTAGCTGCAGTTTCACTGAGCAGGCCCTGAACCACGGCAGTGCCACCGAAGTCCTGCTGGTCCAAAAGCAGATGAGCGAGCGTGTGAGCGCCCTCGCCTGTCACGACTTCCCTGAACGGCCGCATGAGAACGCCCACTTGGACTGCCAGATAGAGACAGAAGGCCTGCGACGTTCCATCCAGAACCTGGGCGTCCTGCTGACGACGGGGGCCGTGGGACACACCAGTGTGGCCACAGGAGAAGGGCTCAGACATGCACTGGTCGGTCAGCACGTGACTGTAACTGTTACCACTAAGGATAAGGACAGCGAGCTTGTGCGGACAGGTAACGCGGTCCTCCGAGCGGAGATAACGGGGCAGGATGGAGAGCGGGCGACAGAGGTGGAGGTCGTAGACAATAAAAACGGAACGTATGAGGTAGGGTACACACTTAAGAGTGAAGGGGAGTACTCGTACTCTCTGATGCTGTACGGACAGCCTGTGCGGGGCAGCCCGTTCAGACTGCGGGCGATAAAGCCATCGGACGTGCCTCAGTCTCCAGATGATGTGAAAAGAAGGGTAAAATCTCCCAGTGGAACAGGGGGACACATCAGGCAGAAAGCCGTACGGAGACCCTCCAGCATGTACAGCACTACCAAAAAGAAGGAAAACCCCATTGAAGATGAGCTCATTTATAGAGTTGGTAAGAAACCCTGGTGTGGATAATAACCCTGGTGTGCGCAATACGTTTGACATGTGGTTAAATGGTTGTGATTTGTGAAATATAATTTTGATATTGAATGGCAGTGAATTTCTTTTGTCTGACCCCTCAGGCTCTCGTGGACGGGAGAAGGGAGAGTTCACCAATCTACAGGGCATCTCTGCTTCCAATAATGGGAGGGTCATTGTAGCAGACAGCAACAACCAGTGTATACAAGTCAGTCAATGCATGGAAATGTTATAAAACATTATAGGCTTCATTTTATCTAAAGCATTTTAATGGATAGTGAAGTAATTAGCAAATGTGTCACTTGGGATTAATACAGAGATATAAAAACATTTTTATTGCATTTAGTGCAAAATTGGATTTTGTTTGTTTTTCTGAAGGTGTTTACCAATGATGGCCAGTTCAAAGCACGCTTCGGGGTCAGGGGTCGTTCTCCAGGACAACTGCAGAGGCCAACAGGAGTGGCAGTCGACACAAATGGAGATATTATAGTAGCTGATTATGATAACAGATGGATCAGCATCTTCTCCCCTGATGGGAAATTCAAGGTAATGTTTAGATCACAATTTACACTTTATATACTGTATGTCTATACACTACCACTCAAAAGTTTGGAATAGTTAATATTTTTTTAATGTTTGTGAAAGAGGTCTCTTATGCTAACCAAGGCTGGATTTATTTGATCAAAAATACCAAAATATTTTTGTGGAAACTACCAGTTTGGGGTAGGATTTTTTTTTTAGTTAAAGAAATTAATAATTATATTCATAAAAGACAGATTTAATTAAAAGGAAGTGACAGTAAAGACATTTATATTGTTACAAAAGATTTCTATTTCAAATAAATGCTGTTCTTTTGAACTTTCTGTATGTCAAACAATCCTGAGGAAAAAACGTTTTCCACAAAATATTAAACAACAAAAGTTTAATAATAAGAACCATTATTAATAGTTGAACACCAAATAAGCTTATTACAGTTTAGAATGATTTCTAAAGGATCATGTGACACTGAAGACTGCAGTAGTGACTGCTGAAAATTCAGCTTTACCATCACAGGAATAAATTACATTTTAAAACAGTTCTTTTAAATTGTGATAATATTTCACACTATTACTGTTAGTTACTGTAATTTACTGTGTTTGTGATCAAATAAATGCAGCCTTGGTGAACATAAGAGAAAAAAATTACCACCCCCAAATTTTGAATACCTTATAATGCCCTAGCAACCACCCAGAAAACCTAAGTAACTGCCTAGCAACAGTCTGACAATCACACACAACAAGAATTATATTTTTTTGGTATATTAAAATATAAAAGTTATTTTAAATCATGATAATATTTCACAATATTTCTGTTTTTACTATGTATTTAATCTAATAAATGCAGCTTTGATGAGCACTTCACAGTCCTCACACTTCAGATAATGTCTGTGATATTAATATATTTTCCTAGGTTAAGGAAAAAAATTGCACTTAGTAATCTTTTAAGTTGTGTTTGACTTGACTGACACCTAGTGGTGTGGGTGCATTCTTACAGAAAAGCATTACATTGTTCTTTTAAATTGTGATAATATTTCACACTATTACTGTTAGTTACTGTAATTTACTGTGTTTGTGATCAAATAAATGCAGCCTTGGTGAACATAAGAGAAAAAAATTACCACCCCCAAATTTTGAACATTGGTGTATGTGGAAATAAAGAAAAATTAAAATCTTATTGACCTGAATGGTATGTCTCTACGTATTGACATAAATTAAAATTAAAATGATTATATTTTCTTACTCAGTGCCATGATTGACTAATCAGAATCTAGAATTTTTAAGAGCTGTTTAATAAGGTCCTCCCTCTCTTTTTGTCTGTGCCTCATGCAGAGTAAGATTGGCGCAGGCCGTCTGATGGGACCCAAAGGAGTGGCTATGGACAGGAACGGTCATATCATTGCAGTGGATAATAAAGCCTGCTGTGTGTTCATCTTTCAATCTAATGGCAAACTAGTAACCAAGTTTGGAGCCAGAGGCACTTCAGACAGACAATTTGCAGGTACGGGGTGTAGAAACTGCAATGCCAATGCCATGCCAATAGAGCCAATGTTGAACAATGTCATGCGGTTGTGGTGGTTAACCTATCTAAGCACTGAAGGGTTGCAGAAGTGTTGTTAGCGGCCTGTGTTGTGTGCACAGTGTGACTGCTTGTCTTCTAACATCTCTTCCTAATACCTCATTTGTCCAGCTCAGGAATTCTTTTTGTGACCTAAAATGTTACAAACCTTAAAGAAACAAGAGTTAAATGATGTTTCACTACAAAAGCAACAACTAAGAACCCTTCTGGGAAGACAAACGCCACAAAAGGCTGGTGTGTTTTTTTACAGAAAAGGCCAGATTTACCCAGGCTTTCAGTTCCAGTCTCTGAAAGGATGTAAACTTGTGTCAGTTCTGTTCCTTTGTTTCACTTTAGCAAAAGCCATTGCTTCAGTTGCATTATCTGTCTGTATGATAAATAGTAAAGGCCAATGCATGCTTACATGTAAGAGCCTATATTCTGATAGATGCACACATATTAGTCATGCTTTTTGTAGTTCATCAAACACTTTCCCTTCTGCTGCTTATTTTACTATTTAAATGTATCTAACCCTTCTTAGGAAAATGCATGCGGACTGGTTTGGGATGTGCATCTCCATTGTTCCTCTGGTCTGCTCCATGTTTGTTCCAGCACTTAATGTTGATTTGCATCCTCACACTACTTTAAATGTTTGAAATGTAGCCCCTGCACTTTTTTATTTGTGTGAATCCCTTCTGCCCTGTCGTTTATTTGTCTCCGCTTACCCTTGTTTGTGTTTTTCCTATTCCTTTTTAGACAAAAGTGGTGCAAAGTTTGCACTGGAGCAAAAGTTTAGTAAATCTGGCCCTGGGTTCAGTAAGTATTGAGTGAATTCTCATCCCAGAATGTGGTGATTTATCTTACTGAAATCATTTAAGTTTCATACTAGAACTGAATTCAAGAGTCTATGATTCTGTGCTGTGTGTATCTAATCAAAAGTTGGCCAGAAATCAAATTGTCGAGCATCACGAAATCTATCTAATCGGTTAAGAGATCTTGATCACATCATCCTACTCTCCTCTCCGCTCTCTTTCTCTTTATCATGTCTGAACGTCTCTTCTCCCCAATTTTTCTGTTTTCTCACATGCAGGTCCACATTTTGTTGCTGTCAACAACAAGAATGAAATTGTCGTGACAGACTTTCATAACCACTCCGTCAAGGTGAGTGATGTTGAGGTCATACTTACAAATTTTCATCTGGTCGACAATAAAAGACCATAAAATTATTAGGAAGGAAACTGGACTATATCTGAAGACCAGAATATCATAGAGACTTAAGGGATAGAATTCTGTCATTTACTCACTCTCGTGTTGTTCCAAACCTGTATGAGTTTCTTATTTCTGTTGAGCACAAAAGAAGAAATTCTGAAGAAACAGTTGACGGTAGCCATTTTTTCATACTATGGAAGTCAATGGCTACCGTCATCTGTTTGGTTACCAACATTCTTTAAAATATCTTCTCTTGTGCTCAACAGAAATAGGAAACTCATACAGGTTTGAAACAACGCGAGAGTAAGTAAATGGTGACAGCATTTTCATTTTTGGGTGAACTATCCCTTTAAATTTGGGCTAACCAGCAAGCAGTCACCTTATAATGCCCTAGCAACCACCCAGAAAACCTAAGTAACTGCCTAGCAACAGTCTGACAATCACACACAACAAGAATGATATTTTTTTGGTATATTAAAATATAAAAGTTATTTTAAATCATGATAATATTTCACAATATTTCTGTTTTTACTATGTATTTAATCTAATAAATGCAGCATTGATGAGCACTTCACAGTCCTCACACTTCAGATAATGTCTGTGATATTAATATATTTTCCTAGGTTAAGGAAAAAAATTGCACTTAGTAATCTTTTAAGTTGTGTTTGACTTGACTGACACCTAGTGGTGTGGGTGCATTCTTACAGAAAAGCATTACATTTCAGGAGCTGATGTCTTTGTAAAAATTAATATTTAGCAGTCAGCAATGATTCATTTATTCCACAAGTGAAAGTGTCCAATAATGCAAGTAAAATGAGTAGTATTCGTCTGGTCATGTGATTTCAAAATGACGTGCACCACAGTAAAATAAAATGTTTTGTATTAGGTTACCGGCATGATTGGATCATTTTAAATATAGTTTTATAGTATTATTCATTTCTTTTCAATAAAACTTTTTAATGAGCAGAAAAATTACAGAACGTTTTGTATTTTTTTTTAAATATGGGTGATTAAAATGTGTTTCTCCTCAGGTCTACAGTGCAGATGGGGAGTTTTCGTTTAAATTCGGGTCTCATGGAGAGGGAAACGGCCAGTTTAATGCTCCCACAGGGGTAGCTGTTGATGTTAACGGCAACATCATTGTAGCAGACTGGGGCAACAGCAGAATACAGGTAATGAATCCTCTAAACACCCACTTCCTCTTTACAAGTTGAAACTAGTCACTTTAAAAGCACGTTTTAAGACAATTTAAAAAAAATTTCCTCAGGTGTTTGACAGCTCAGGCTCATTCCTCTCCTACATCAACACAAGTGCTGACCCTCTGTATGGGCCGCAGGGCCTCGCTTTAACCTCCGACGGTCACGTTGTGGTGGCCGATTCTGGTAACCACTGCTTCAAAGTCTACCGGTACCTGCAGTAACAGCTCAGGTACTGCCACAAGGTGCCACAAACTCTCCTTCATCTTGGGTTCATCACAGTTTGCATGGTCACATCAGCGAAATCCTCGGCCAAACCAGAGAGGAAGAATCGAATGAACAAAATGCACTTTTCTTTAATCTTCTGCTGATTTTCATGTTCCCAAACAAAGAACTGCTTCTCTACTAAACCAGGAATGTTGATTGTAAATAACAGAAACCATATCAATAAGCACAGATTCTTATTAGAAATCATGTAAGTTGTGTATAAATAAAAAAATATATATATATAGCAAAACATTTTGTTAATCGCTGTCTTAAACCCTTGCAGAAAAGTCCATTATTTCCAAACTTCCTCTCCTGTTTCATAGTGGTTGAGCTTCCCATGACTGCAACAGTTGTGCATTGTAATAGTTACATTCTGCATTTGTAAATATACAAATTTGTTTACATATGAACATATTTGGTGTATGTAACATGTAAATGACACTGGCTTCTTGTATTGTCCTATGACAGCATTTGGTACTGAGATTTCACTATACCTGAGCTATTCGGTGAGCACTTTCAGTTAACTGGGTGTTCAAATCATTCAGATCGAACATCTGAGCTGATCATCCCTCACAGATATCAACAGCACAGGAAGTGATGCTAAAAAAAAAAAA